GTCGCCACCGCCTCCCGCTCCTCCCCTGCGCCGCACACCCCCGTGTAACACACCGGCAGCCAGCACTCCTGCCCATCCCCTGTGTCTACAGATACAGAGGTATAGATGTGCCCCCCACTAATCGCTGCGGTTGCACGTAGGGTGCTTCCTGCACGTATATATTGTACTGTGTTTGTGGGCGATGTGCAGTGTTGTCTGTACTCTGGATGTCATGAACTTTGACAGAAATATAACTTCCATGAGGGAATATGCTGAGGGAAATGCCACTTCCTAGAGGAGAAAGCAACCAAAGTATTCTAGACGTGCTCTCTGTTTTCTTTTGTCAGTGCTTATTCAGGCTAAACAGAGGAATGAAGTTTCCTTCTTTCACATAGCAGTTTGCAGGACTCTCTTAAGTTTTCTATAACGTGTGTGGAGAGCTTTATGTTGAATTAAAGTTGTACTGAATTATCCTTGCAGTAGAGCCAGGAGAAGGTGTCTGCCTGCACTGGGGTCTCTGACAGTGGCTCTGTCACTCTGGAGGTTACTGAATGACTTCACTTTCCAGGCTTCCAAAACAGAGCAGATCTATGTTATGTTATTGTGTGATATTTTTTCACAGAGGTAAAAGTCCCCTTTGTGAACAAGATTCACTCTGGTTGTCTGTATCCTAAATAATTTCAGAGCCCAAGTCAGAAGTCTCACTTTTCTGGTAGCCAGATGTTGTCATATGGAATGCATTGGTTTTGGGATTGGTTTCTGTCGTGGTTTGGATCGAGGGCCTCTTGTGCTTGGGCCTTACTCAGGAATGGGAAGAAAATCCCAACCCTGGAGGACTTTATAATGAAATATCACATAGTTTAATATGGATTAAAAAGGAATTTGCTAACTTCCTGTAAGGATTTGAAAATGTCATAAATCTGAGTGGAAGGAAGAAGCTTCTATTTTCCTTTTCCATTTTATGAGTAATGCCAAAAAGTTTTTGTGAAGGACAGCAGTCTGAACACAAACCTGTTTTACTGGAGGTACTAGGGTTTAAAATGCAAATAGATCTTTTAAAATGACTTGCTTGCTCCTGTGCATCTAATGGAACCTGCTTATGACTGGTTCTGGATCTTCTGAAACAGGAGAGGTAAACCTCTCTTAATTTTGTTCTAAAATGTGTTTGTGACTTGTGTTTTCCAAGGTAATGACTCCAGAAAGTTGCACATTTTTGATTTGTTAGACCAACAACAAAAATCTTACAGTTTCTGTATATACTGTCCCTAAACTTGTGGAATGTCTCTGGAACTTGGTTCTCCTGCTGCGAACGCAGAGACACATGCTACAGGTTTGACTGTTTTATAGGAAGAGGGGAATGGGATAAATGAGGATATACAAACGGATAAATAACTATGGATGTCAGTGAAAGTCCTCTTTCTGATGAGCACAGGTATGCAGTTTTTAATTTAGCCATGGTGCTAGGGTGTGGTTAATGAGAAATGAGGTGTGTGCATATAAATGCAGGAAGTTTAGGAAACAAAATGGACGAACTGAATAGAGAAGGATGTGAAACCATTAAAAGGATGACAACACAATGTGTCTGTGACTGGATAGCTGTTGAGGGAAATCAAAAAGGGAGGGTAGTGTGATACACAGCCTTGATTTAATAATAAAGTCAAAGTATAGGAAGAGAATTGAAGACCTGTGAAGTCTTTAGAAATACTTACTAGGCCTCTGGCCGAGTTGAGGTGTTTTACAGGATTAAAGAATATAGCAAATGTGTTTCTTCAAGAACAGCTTGAAATGGGCTCTCCGCAGCTGAAGCTCGTTAGTCCGAGCCCAGCAGCATTCAGGCCTCTTCTGCTTTCAGAGAAAGAATAACTGGATGTGGGAATAATAAAGAAACACAAAGTGATCTTCAACAGCAGATGATGAGAAGCTTGCTGGGTTGCTGTCTGATCAAAGATCAGTTCAACCAAATTTACTGTCTTGTGCTAATCAGATGCTTTAATGAAATCCAGATGGGGAAAGCTAGAGAGGAAGAAGCTTCTCTAGAAGAGCTGAAGAATGAGTGAGGAACTGGCCAGCAACAAGTAATGTCATCACATAGATGTGGAAGAAGAGGTATTGGGCTGCTAATGAGACTGCTCAGGGATCACTCTCAGAAGAGGGCTTTTTAAAGACAAGCCTGCAAGAATAAATGAATAAACAGACCAAGGGCCCAGATCTTTACATGTTTAGTAAGACCTAAATGTCCTTGGTGTGTGGAAGTCATAGAACCACAGTGAAATTTAATAGCAACAGACCTCATAACTCGCTGTGGACAACAGGCTAATGGGAATTGGCCGCTTGGGTGTGTTAACTGATAACAAAACTGTTAACTGCCTTCCAGTTTGGTGTGATTTTGCAGAAGACCACAACTGAAGCCATCACAGACTGTATTTAACTGTGTCCTGGAGCGCATCAAGAGCTGCACTGTGAGCCAGGCGAGGGAGATGATCGTCCTGCTCTGCTCTGCACTGTTGTGGCCTCACCTCGAGCACTGGGTGCAGTTTTGGGCACCACAGGATAAAAAGGATGTAAAGCTGCTGGAGAGTGTCCAGAGGAGGGACACAACATTGGGGAAGGGTTTAGAGGGGAAGGGTATGAGGAGAGGCTGAAGTCGCTTGGATTGTTCAGCCTGGAGAAGAGGAGACTGAGAGGAGATCTCATGGAGGTCTAGAACTTCCTCCCAAGGGGAAGAGGAGGGGCAGGCGCTGATCTCTTCTCTCTGGCCACCAACGAATGCCAGGAGCAGAGGGAATGGCAGGAAGATGTGTCAGGGGAGGGTGAGGTTGGCCATGAGGAAAAGGTTCTTGAGGCAGAGGGTGGTGGAGCACTGGAACAGGCTCCCCAGGGAGGTGCTCATGGCACCAAGCCTGACAAGATTCCAGCAGCATTTGGCCAAGGCCCTCAGGGACATGGTGTGAATGTTGGGATTGTCCTGTGCAGGGACAGGAGTTGGACTGATGGTCCTTGTGGATCCCTCCCAGCTCACGACATTCGATGACTCTATGATTCTAGCAGCTGTCTAAAGTAAGGTACCAGTTAGGCTGTTGTTTTGTGAGCGTGACAAAAGCCTTCATCAGGGGAATAGTGCAATTATGAATTGAACCAGTTCTACCTCTCCCCAGTTCTTCCCCCACCTTACAGATCTCTTCTGAATGTTCAGTGTTCACTCACACTTCAGTAAATATACAGGGAAGATAAGGAAGATTGTGCCCTGGGATAGAGGAGAACTACCTACTAATTTAATGTAGAAACGTAGGAGTTTCTGTAGAAGTTGTTTCAGTTTATGAAAGAAATGATATGATGGTGTTACCTTTAATAGAAGGGAATTGGACTTGAGCTGTGAGATCCTTTCCTGTTGCAAAGCCTTGAGGAATGACTGTGAGAACACCTGGATGGCCAGGTGAAATAGAATATGCCTCTTACTTCAGACTAACTGAACAGTGCTCCTCTGGCTCCAAAGTGGTGTGTTTTTAAGGAGAACGTGTAATAATTACAGTCCTGAAGTTTGGAGCTGACAGCTATTTTCTGAGGTATTATCTCTGTGTGGACTGGCCAGCTGATGGTATTAACCACATGCAGTGTCTAATAAAATCTATGTATACAGGTTCTAGTCTCTTCTAGAAATGTACCTGCTTCTTGCTGAGCATAAAGCTATGAATTTCTCCATGCAAATTACATCCACTGAAGAGTTAAAATTAATTATTTCCTTGTTGAGCTAGAAGGAACTGGATGGGTCTCATGAAAGCTGCTATGGATATGATATTTACAGTTATGTTATTCTGATAAAGAACATTACGACAATGCGCTTGGAACAACCTTATCTCAGTTTGGACAGAAGTGTGCTGATACTTGAAATAAGGCTTCAGTGAGATGTCAGAATACCTGTGTAGTGCTTGTTGATTACAGGAGGAAATGTAGGTGTACTAGTATCTCATTAAGGTAATATTTAACTTTTTAGAAATTAAAAAAAGCCTCTAAGAAGTTGATATATGGAAAATAGCTCATGGTGACACTGTTCACTGTAAAATTTCTGTTCCTAACTGTAATACAGAAATTAATTGTACAGTCTTTGAAACCAGCAGAAATCTGTGTATAGTGAAGCATGATCCTCTGGCTAGTAATGCTCTAAACTCTGGGGAAGTGTAACATCTGAAAAGGGAGGGAGCCAAAGCTTGTTCCAAGTTGCTGGACCTTCCCAGAAGAAAGATGGCAGGTAGACCAAGCTTCCAGACTGAACTTCTTTTACTTCCTGTTAGCAGTAAATTCATGGTTGGTTAACTTTGATGTCATATTGTATAATGTCAACAGTGGCTGAAGGTAGTTGCGTATACTCACTCATGTGCAGCTTTCCCAGTCCTGCAGTCCTTGTCTCCTTGCTCTCCCAAGAGGAAAACTCCAGGCTCCCGTGTCGGGATTATCAAGGTTCACGTCTCTGGACACAAGGCTGTGAAGTGGAGGCAGAGCTCCAGTTTCTACAGATGGCTGATGCTATCGACATATATTAACTCCTTGCATTAACATGTAGCTAATATTTTCATGTTTACTGTTGTGCACTATTGTTGTCTAGACTTCCTTCTTTTATCTGTGGTAAATGCTGAGATTGTAAGTTTTCTAAGGCTGAATTCTTGCCATGGCTTCTGTGTTTAGGTTGTTGCATTTCTTTTTTCCCCTTCAGCACAGAGTCCTTTTGAAATATGTTTTATTCCAAGATCTGAGTACAGTTTGGATTTCTGCTTCTCCTTATTGGGATTTGAGTGTTTAAAAGTTTGTTATTTGATGTTGTATGTGTGGGGTTTTCTGGGTTTTTTTAAGAACTCATCTGTTCTCCAGAAATGATTCCTGAACTTAGTAATAATTTGGAGTATTTCAGAATCTTTTTCTGTGACATGACCCTTGGAATAAATGTAATACCAAAGTGTTGCTTTATTTTTCAGTTTAACCCCAGAAACTGTGTTTAAACTCAATGCCTGTGTTTCTACAAGCTTTCAGAATGTATGTCTGTCAGACACAGTAACTTTGCAGCAACTCTCTGGGACTTGAGGGAAGGTCTAGACTCATCATATGAGTGAATTTACCTATCAGTATTGCTGTTAATAATCTGTTTAAGCTGTGGAGAGAGCATGCTAGGTCTGGCTGCACACAGTGGGGTGTGTGTGGTCCCTCACCTCCCTCAGGGGCCTGATGTCACTGTAAGAAGAAGGGTGAAGTTTTCACAAGGAGTTGTGGCTTCACACCCATTTCTTGGCAGACTGTTGCCAAGCGCAGAATTTGGTTTTCCAGCTCTCACTGTGAAGTGGGAACCAATTTTGATGTGTATGTTGCAAAGCAGTGACAGTTTCTTTTGTACTGAAGTAGCATAGTTAGACTTCTTTACTTAAAGAGTACAATGACAACTGACATATCCTAGCAAGCAAAAGCAGTCTGTCAAATAAACACATGTATACTTGGCAGGAAGGATTCTGGTTAGGAGACTCATTTCAGGTTCAGTTTGTGACGTAGCCTGCACAGTTCCCAGTTTGGCCATTCTTTAAAAAAAAGTTTTCCTCACCTTCCAGTGGTGCGACTGCCAAGCTTGGATGGTAAGACATGTTCCCTCACTTGTTATGTACAGCAATATTGTAAAGTCAGGTGCTCAGAAACATGAAACTTCTTTGAGTACTTCTGAGTGCTTAGCATTCCTTAGCCAGCTGGTTTTATGAAGGAAGAGAGACTCACGTTGGTTTCTGCAGGACAGATTTCACAGCCAGATGAGTGTTTCCCTATCTTGGACTTTATGATGCTGAATTTATTTATTGTTTTTTTAAATGGTATAAGTTACTAGATACCACCATCCCCAGAATGCACCATAGATCTTTCAAACTAGAGGCATATTAGTGCTCTCTGTGTCTGAAAGGCTGTCTCTTGCCTTTCTTCATTGTGGCTGTAGCACCCACCTGTTTTCTGTGGAAAACAGCACAGTTCATGCTCTCCTCCTGAAGTACTTGCACACATAAATTGGCCTTTTCAAGCCTGCTTTTTTTGTGTGTGTACTTGCATTTACATACCTCATAGTGCTCCAGTTTAACCTTGTCTGCTATCAGACTGAATCGAGACGTGAACACAGTCCCAGCTTTACCCAGAAAGTGCAAGTTAAGGATCCTGTCAGAACAAGTGGATCGGCTCAGAAGATGCTCCATTTGAATGTCATTGCTCTTGGGACATGCTGGAGAAGAGGAAGAACATAACGTGTGAAGATGTATTCAGAAAATGTGAAGTATTGGATGTTTCCACAGTGACACGTTAATTTTGAATTCTCTATGGAGCAGTTACATGTCTTTATTTGCTGGTGTTGAAAATAATCGGTGCCTGTATTGAAGCTGATACTGTAACTCTGGAATCTTCCACTTTTAGGAAATAAGGCAGTGAAGTCAGCAGCTTCCGTGGTAAAGGGCAGTGCATTTTCAGTCATGGATGTGAATTCTTACACAGCACAGCCATAAGAAGTGGTCTGTCCACTGAGCAGTTAGTTGCCAGACACTGAGGGGGACAAAGGTGATATGAGATGGCTACATGAGATTTCCCTCTACTACGGCCGAAGAGCTTCCTCTGAAACGTTCCTGATTGAAGTAACTGTTCGTCTGTGCAGCACTCGATGTGGAATTCTGTCTTGCCAGTGCCTACAAGAATTACTGAACAAAATTGTCTTTTGTTGCTATCTTGGATTAAACTTGGTTTAATAGAACAGTGTGTGTCTGTGTCTGTAGGACTTAGCGTAGACACTTTGCATACTGCTTGGGACAGAAGGACTTGAGAGGTTCCGTATCATGAGCCAAGCATGAAGGAAAGGCAAGGTGCAGATCAGCGACTGGCACGCAGCAAACCCGCCTGCTGGGGTTGTTCCCCTCCAAGGTCTAGATAAGAGCGTTTGCTCCCAGCCCCTGCGGTGGGAAGCGGTGGCTGTTGGCTGCACACTGGGAATGAGATTTGTTGTCAGTCACCTTTCTTATGACTCCAGTTCACTACTGGGGATGAATTGTGGTTGAGGAAACAATACTTGGCTTTTGAAAAAGTTACAGGCTTGTAAGCTTTCCTGCGTTTTTGTTCCCTTACAGCACTAGTTTCATTTGTCATGTGAACGACACATGACTGAATGAAAATCTTTTTAGGCTGAAGCAGTGTTCTTTTGTAAAGTGCCATCTTGTTTCTAGTGGCTGGCTGGCTGCCATGCAGGAGCAGGAACGGAAATGGTGAATTCCTAGGAGAAATTTTCCACTTCCTTAACTGATCACACTGTATCTAGTTGACCTTAAAACCTGGGATGGAAGCAGACATTTTGCATCCTTTATGTTAACTGGCAATATCTGGTCTGTGTAGACTTGTAATCCTGGTAAACTGATGTATTAGTTGGTAAGTCAGCTGTTACTCCTGGCAGGTTTACACAGCTGAAGCCAGTTCTAATTCCTCCTATGTCTAGGAAAGCATAGGAAAAATCTGGAATATGGGAAGGACCCCATCTAATTTTGACTCTCACTTAAAAAAGAGAGACTACTAAGCCTTGCTGTGATGTTACTGTGCTGACAAAGCCACAGAGATGTTGACTAACTTCCTGAACATCTGATTTGTGGCTTGTACTGCTTTGACATGGACATGTAGCAGTCCAGACCCCCAGTTTTGGCTCCTGCAGCATTCTTTGGATGCAAGCTGCGCTGCTTCCTTTGTTCCTGTTGCAAGTCTCAAAAGTGTGAGGTAATAGTTCCAAACTGCTGGTTTTGTTAAACCTCCTCAGATTGTTCTTTTGGAGTCAGCGTTTATTTTCAGTTCATGTATCAGCTATTTGGCAAGTGAGTGCTGGTCCACTCAGTGACTCTGTAACAAAGCAAGAAGCTGCTGGAGCTTTTCAACAGCTTTAAGTCTTTCTGCATAAAACTGAATGAATATCAGTACTGTGCAGAACATGTTTCTACTTAGAGGCCTTACTGATCGGGGTTCAAAGCGAATGATACGGGGGTTTTGCTGAATAGCACTAACTCAGTGACTGGGGAAGTACACAGATGTGAGCTGTGAATGAAGGGTAGCAGGGGGGAGAGGAAGGGGAAGGGGTTTTTGTTTGCTTACCTAAAATAAAATGAATGAATTGGGTTGAGTTTGGTGACCAAGGAGCGGTTCTGATGTGTTCTATTTTTTTATTTTAGTGCCACAATGGCAACTGCACCTTACAACTATTCCTACATCTTTAAGTACATCATTATTGGTAAGTATCACTGGGCACATACGTGTTTCTGTCAGTGTGTGTATGTGGACAACCTACCTACAAACCCTGTGGCCACACAGCAGCTGACTCCTGTTGCGTGCTGCTTGCTCCACACTAGTGATTCTTTAGCTGCTTGTCCAGCCTCAGTCCCTCACAGATCACCACACATGCTCTAAAGCTTTAGCAGCTGACAATATAAAGGCAAATGCCTTTGTGTGCCACAGAATTAGAGCTGTGTGATCAGTGGCAGGTGAACTGGGAGTGGGGACAAGTACCAGTCCCTGCACTGAGTTCACTCTGTTGCTGAGTTACTGTTAAAAATAACATACATCAGTGTTCTTGAGCATCTTTGCTGTTGGGGCTGCAATGCTTAGCCCTCTGCATAACACCAGAAAAAACACGTTCTAAAAACATGTGCATGTGATCTCCCTTTCCCCTAAATCAAGTTTATATTTAGCAAAATTGCTAAATTCATCAGAAATGGGAAAAACTTGAATTGAATTGCCACAACTGGGATGCTGTATTGGGTCAGGTTTACTATAGCACTTTGCCTCTGCATCATTGGTCTCAAAGGTTTTAGAATCTGTATTGAAGACACAAGTGCTAATTGCAATCCATTGCTTTAGACAGGCTTATAAACCTCTGTCAGGCTGTATTTTTGTGTTTAAATGTTGCTTTTAGCTGCAGCTTCCTTGGCTGCTGAGAGTCAGGGACTTGATTGCATTTATTACTGTCCTGGAAGAACTGGTCTTGCTGTTAATTGTTTAATTCTTAATGATCTTGTGTAGGTGTAAGTGATCTGCAATCTTATTGTAATGGTTTGCAAGTCAGGCTGCTGTGAGCCTCAGCCTGTGGAAAAGTTGGTTCTTTAAAAGATGTTGCTATTTCCCACTATTGGCATCTGTAAGAGGATCAGTGGAAGTGAAGCAATTTCTTGGTGTGTGCTGGCTGGTTTTCAGTATTTTTTATGTCCTTACCAGTAATTGCAAGTAAGACAGGAGCAGGGAAAACACTCAAAAGGTATATTTTGCATTTTAGTTTCTTATCAGTTTACTTCTTGTGAAACAGTTGTAAGATCAGGAACACAGATGAACTTCTCCTTTGAGTTTTCTGCTCCACCCTTGCTTGCAACCCTGGGCCTATTACCAAAACTTTACTGCAAAAGCTGATAAATTTCAGGAGTAGCCAGGCACAGATCACTGCCTGCTAGACCTGAGGAAGCAGTGACTGCCTGTCTCTTTGCTATTTGTTGTGTGGAGCCAAGAAAATGTGCTTGTTGCAACAGTGATGTGGTGTCAGCCTTAACTGTTCTTTCTGTAACAGGGGACATGGGTGTAGGAAAGTCCTGTTTGCTGCATCAGTTTACAGAAAAGAAGTGTGAGTATTTCAATTCACAATATTTATTCTAACTGCTATGCTTCATCCCCCTTGCCTGCCTTTTTGCTTCCATCCTGCATGAGCTTGGTGTGGTGTCTGTCTTACTCTGTATGGGTTTGTATTGTACTTGATCAGAGTTTTGTTCTGGTTCCTGCAGAAAATGTTGATGTAATAATGGCAAAACTGCTGCTTCAGTCAGTCCCACCTGTGATGAGTGGGAGGACCGTGTCTCTTCTCACAGCTTTTCCAGGGAATTTTGATATGGAACAAAATACAATTTCTTATCTGAAACTTGCATGTTTTCAGCATTGGTGTAGCTTAGACACAAGCAGTTGGAGGTTTTTTTGTGCTTTTAAGGACTTCAAAAAGAGAAAAAGGATTAATTTTTCCTCACTCTTTGTTTGCAGACTTAAATAGCACTGTCATTCTCTGTAGCTGCTGTGACTCAGGACACTTGGGCTGCCCTGTGTGATGGTGTTTAAGGCTTACTGCAGTCTGCCTGAACTGTTGTGTTTTTTCCTGTATGCTATCATGACTAATTAAGAGTTAGCTTCAGTTCTTATTAATAATGTGTGTTGTGTTGGAGTTTGAAGCAGCTGTTGGCTCTTACAACTTTCCATCAAGCTGTCCCTCAATGGATAAGTCTGTAGGTATTTGTTAGCACAGAGTTAGTCTTTACCCTGCGGTACTCGAGATGTGGCTCTAAGTGGGTGGGAACTACACTTTAAAATACTTCTGTTTTCTAGTAGAAATAGGATTTTTTTTTTTTTTAACTATTGCTTTTAATTAGAATCCACTATCAGCCAATTGTTTCAATACTGCTTTGCATACGGTCAGATTCTTGATGGGGATGTGTCTTGTTCTTAGTCTGTCAGTGTTAAGCTGAAGCAGCACAACTGAAAGAACTAACATGTCAAACACCCCTGCTGCAAGACCATCACTAACTGTAGATAGCTTGAATAGATACTCATCCTTTCTCTGTTTTCTTGACCTTTATGATGAGTTTATTATAAGATGAGTTTATTATAACTAGAAAGATGCCTTTTTGGTTTGGATTTGCTGTGTTAATAGCTACTTATGAAACTATTTTTAATTTTTTCCTGTGGACAGGTATGCTATTATCCTGTCTGAAACAACTTGGGTATTTGTTTTTGAGGCTGTGTTACAGGCTTTTAACTGTATCTTGGTAATTCCCTAAAAGTTATCTTTTCCTACTGCATTAAAATAGTTAACCATTTCTGCAAGGGTAGACTGAGAATCAACTGATCCCTTCTGATACATATGGCCAAACAGCAGCAGTGTACATGCACCAGAGAAGGCAAGGAACTTTATAACTGTTTTTATAACTAACAGCAGTTGAGGAAATACTTCATTTTCTTTCTGGTTAATTGATACAGTTTGGATACTGTGGCTGTAAAAATGCTTTCTTAGAGACTGAAAATCTAGTGAGGATAACTGGAAGCTGATGAGAGTCATATCTTTGTAGCAAGGAGACCTTGTACTGGAAAGCTCTGATCTGTGCTCTGATTTTCCATGACAGTTATGGCGGACTGTCCCCACACAATTGGTGTTGAATTTGGCACGAGAATAATTGAAGTTAGTGGCCAAAAAATTAAACTACAGATTTGGGATACGGCGGGACAAGAGAGATTCAGGGCTGTCACACGAAGCTACTACAGAGGAGCAGCAGGAGCTCTCATGGTCTACGACATCACCAGGTAAGGTGCTGCTGATGGATTCATCTCGGGTGGTAGCTCTGCATGTGTGTGACACCACCACCGTGTCTGGACTGTCTTCTCTGTCCCCTTGGCTTAGATTTAAAGGACTCTGTCTCTGTCTGCGTGGCTTTATATCTCGTCATGTGAAGCTTCCCACACTTCTTTATCAAAATACTTTATCAAAAGTATTTAAAGAGCTGAAAATGAAACATAGGGAATTACATGAGCTACTTGGGAAACTTCACTGCTGACAGACCTGAGGATCTGAACCATTTCAGGGCTTGACCGCCTGTGTTTGAAGTTGTTTAAGGAACTGGCTTTGTCTTTAAAATCTGCCCTTCAGTACATGGATTTTTCTATTCCTGGGAGGCAATGGATACTGCTGCTTACCTGGCAAGAATGCTCTCAGAGAAGGCACAGGACAGAATATCACCTCTGGTGCAGTGGGCTGTGTAATCGTGCTTAACAGACTCTATGGATGGAGCAGTGGAGAAGTCTGACTTCTGGGCCTCTTCACAGCCTGGTCCTTTAACAAAATGACACTGCATAGAAGCTATCCTGTCTTCCTCTTATAGCTGAAAATTAAAGATGCTGCTAAAAGAATAATTAATCAGATGTGCAACATGAAATACTTTTGCTTTCACATGTCTCCCATCTTCCTCTGGGGCTGTTCTTGGCATTCTTTAAGCACACCTTTTTATTTTTCCCTATATAGATAGGTATATCTCCTGTTTGCTTAAGTCTTGAGTAAAACATAAGTAATCTTCCACACTGTTTGTTCCCAAAGTGCTGCTCTACTGTACAGTGTTCTGTGAGAGTATTTGACAGGAGATCCTTTAACGTGTTCAGTACAATACAATAGAAGTGTGATTTGCTCTGTCTTTCCACCCGTGTTGTAAGAGTTGCGCTGTGGGTTTAAAGTCGACTTGTTGAAACCTTGCTCTGAGTCCAAACAAGATGCTGCTGCTTTGTCTTTCTTGATATTGGGAGCAGAACAGGGCTGACAGATGTCGGTGTGTTTAATGGATGCTGACTGTTCTGTTGGCATTTGCATATTTTACAAAAATACTGTAGCTAAAACTGTACTCGCTTGATTCTTTGCAGAAGAAGTACATATAATCACTTAAGCAGCTGGCTGACAGATGCAAGGAACCTCACCAATCCAAATACTGTAAGTTGGACTTTATTTAGCTTGAAAGCAAGATTGCTTATCTCTAAGCAAGAGGTGGAAGGCTTAGGCCAAAGCATCTGCAGTGGTAGTGATGTTCTCTTCAGTGTTTGCTTAGCTCTGAGTTGTCTTCTGTCCCCATTTTGCAGTATGCCAGTGACTCTCTTCCCCTGCTGCAGCTGGAGGAAAGGCGTAGGAAAGCCGTGGTTTCTTCTAAAGTCTTGTTGGGTGACTCACCTTTCAGGGGCCTATTTTCAGCATTTGGAGACAAAATTGTGATTAACTCTGGACAAACCTTAACTTTTGTTACTTACTTCTTCTTGCTTTGTGGTAGTAATGAGGTGACTGCTACCTCATCTTAGTTTGGAATATAAATTGGATCTCCAGCAAAAGCTTCTCCTCATCTTCTGAAGGGATGGGGGAAGAAGGTTTGTCCGTGTCTCTTTGACCATACCACAGAACTGTTGTCCTTCAGTCTTTTTCTGAATGCCCCTAAAATACTTCAGCAGCAAGCTCATGGGAAGACTCTGCTGTGATCAAAGAAAACTTTTTAAAGATTCTGTCTGGATTAGCAGATGATTAAACAAATACAAGAAGTAGTTCAAAGTACAACTCTCATGAATAACGAGTAGGACTACTGCTTTTTAGGACCTTCATCTCATGAGAACAGCCTAAAGCATTTGAAAGGGGTGGGTGGAGATGCTGCTCCTGACTGCAGAGAGGGCACTGCTAGAGCAGTGTTTTCCTGAAGGTGCATGGCTTTCACAGCTGAACTTTTCTGCATATTTCCTTTGGCTTTTTCATCTTTTTAATAGAGAGGGTGGTAGCAAAAAAGCTAATAAGCTTTTTCCCCACACTAATTTTCTCTCTTCTGAACTAGGTGATAATCCTCATAGGAAATAAAGCAGATCTGGAAGCACAGAGGGATGTTACATATGAAGAAGCCAAACAATTTGCTGAAGAAAATGGTGTGTTGTTTTTTCTCTTGAGCCATTACTTTTCCTACCAGATAGCGATGTTAAAGTGAAACCTCAGCATTGATAGCTGCAAGTTTACACTTCCAGAGTAATGCAATATGAACAAACTTCTGCTGTGCCTCAGATAGTCTGTCTTAACTCTAACAGTGCTTAGTTTAGAGATCAGTTTGTGTACTGATACCTGAAATAGTCATAAAATGCTGTTTGATACTAGAATGGTGTCTTGCATGTAATCTGAAGGTCATAACGTGCCTGACGTGGGGCTGTTTGCAGTACGTGATGCATTGACTGTTCACCCTCTGTTTCTGAACAGGTTTATTGTTCCTTGAAGCAAGTGCAAAAACGTAAGTTACTTTTGTCTTGAGTAATGGTTCAGATATCATCTGTTTAAGGGGAATATGTTGGTTATGACTGCAGCTGTAGGGTTCAGGGGTAGTGGGGTTTTACAACCCCACCCTTTTGAGTTCTCTTAGAGGGTCAGTATGTGTAGCAGTTTGTCATGTCAGCTTTGACTTGAAAGTAACTTGGAAATGAGACCTCTCTACACTTCAGACAAAGACTGTTGAATTCAAATGAACTGCTTTGGTTTTAAGACACCATTTGAGTGTAGAGTGTGTACGTGTGGGTAGGAGTGGTTCCCAAGTAGATGTTCCTTCGAGCTGTGAGCACGTTCTGCAGTGAGCAGCCGGTCCCTCTGGTCACCGAGAGGAATCGCCCCACTGTACTTGTGGTTGGTCATGTCGCTGGGGAGCCTACCAGGGTGTGAGGGATCAGATCTCCAGTGACACTAGTGAATGTGGTTCCAACTGGCACCTGTCGCCGTGGAACCTTTGTTAACAAAAAGGTTTTGATTAATAGTAGCTGCCCTGTTTTTTAGCCTCTTTGGAAACCGCTCTGTGCATGTGGCTCAGTGCTTCAGCTTGTTTTTGCTGCTTGGTGTTTTGGTGTGTGTTTCTCATTCCTGGCTAGTCCTAGCAGGTTGAATGGCCTGGGAGTTGACTTGCCCTGTCAAAGGCTGTCCCAAGGATGGGTTATTAAACTTCATGGTATGTCTGCTTTAAGGACTCTTCTTGTGTGTGAGAGGACAGGGTAGAAACTGCTTCTGACTGGTGACCTGTGAAACCCCAGCCAGGCTGTCTGTGTAACCTGCATTGCTTTGCTGAAGCGTGACCTCAGTAACTCCTGCCGCTCTCTTGTAGCGGGGAGAACGTTGAGGATGCGTTCCTGGAGGCTGCCAAGAAAATCTACCAGAATATCCAAGACGGAAGCCTGGATCTGAACGCTGCAGAGTCGGGTGTACAGCACAAACCGTCAGCTCCGCAGGGGGGGCGACTAACCAGTGAACCCCAGCCCCAGAGAGAAGGCTGTGGCTGCTAGTGACCTCTGTTTCATGGCTCCATTTCTGACCTTTCACCTCTGTCTGCTGGAAGCGGTGCTTTTGACTGCTTCCCTGTCTTCTGTACATCTTCTTGGGTTTAATTAAAACTCTGAGACAAGTTTAACACAGTACTAAACTGCTAAACAACGTTAGATGTAATCAGGTTATCAAAGGCAAGTAGAGTAATAAAATCTCTCCTGCATGGTAAATCTAGAAGTTTTTTTTTTTTTTTCTTCTTGATTGTTCTTGTGATAGTGTCACCGATACATAATTTAAACCGAGCACTGATGCTGGACTCATGATTTTACACTTTGGCAGGGCTTTGGTCTTGTACGGTTTAATTTTATGGTTCTTTGGCCTTTCTTCCCCACCTCTAAGTGTTTAGAGCTGTCCATAGCAAAGGATAAGTTCTTGCTGTGAAAGAGCCAGGGGCTCCGTGACGATGCTGTTGAAAGAACTCCCTGTGGTGTGTGTGTTGGGGGTCGGGGCGGGCTGGTGCAGGAGCCTACAACTTGCACAGGGAAACAATCTGCTCATTCTTGTGCTCACAGCTTTATGTCTTTTGTTTGTTTGTTTGGTTGGTGGTTTTTTTTGCCACTTTTATCCTTTACACTTGTTAACAGAACGTAAATATGTATAAAATTTGAAGGAACTGAGCTAACAGTTAAATACATCCTGTGTATATGATTTTAATGAAGAAAATGATTACTGGCATTAGAACAGTATATAAGAAAATTCGGGTTTGTACAGTCTGAGCTCTGTGTGCCCCCTTAGCGCAGAGATGGGTGTGACTGCAGCTCACTCACTAGGCTTAACTCCTCGGTGTCAGCAGTGGCCACTGCTGGGGGAGTGCTCATCCCCACGCAGACACTAACACTAGTGGAATCTGTCTGTCATCCTTGCACTGTGCTGTAGCTATGCTGTTTTATTAATCCTGTTCTGTGCAATCAATCAAGCAGCAGTGTGCTAACCTGCTTCTTCTCTTCCGTAAGCGTTCTGCATTCTTGGGCTTCATCACCTGCCTCCCATCGTAGACAAAGGCTGGTTCTCTCGCACATCTTCCGCTTTTCTACCTTTACCTTTTGGAATGGTCAGAGGCTGAATGGACAGTCAGAACGACCCCTGTGCTCTCTAGGGATTTTTAACTGCTGTTGTATTTTTTAACAGTCCGCTGTCAGGGTTTCTTTTAGACTCGGCCCTTTTTCATCAAGACTTTGAGTACATCCTTTGTGGGGTGACACAACCTGTAATGTTTGTGTAAAGGGGAGATTTCCAGTGGTGATGGTGCATGTGTGGGTGTTACTGCACCACAGGTGGGGGTTGCTGCGGTGTCAGGCTCTGCATGCAGTGCTGCTCTGCTTCACTTGGAAAACATCGCATACGATTTAAAAATGGAAGGGGTAAGGGCTTCACCATCATCAGCTGTTCTACTTGAGTCTTACTCCAGTGTTTAAAATACAAAGTAGTCTTAAAATCCTTCTCTAGACACTAAAACTATACAATGTTCAGACTTGTAAGTAACCAGTGGTACCAGAGTATTGTACAGTCAATGTTAAATAAAAGCCAAAACTGGAATGTGCAGACAATAGGATTTGGGTAACTTGTGCACTGTCCCTTTGTTTTGTCTGGTTAGTCCTTTTTTTATCTAATACTCTTAAGTAGATGGGTGTGTTCCAGATCTACAGCTCATGCATCCTGCTTAAACTGAGGTTGCACCACATAGGGTTTGCCCAGGGACCATGACCTGCTGCTGGTGTGAAGTAAATGTTCTCATGACTACAGCTGTTGAGGTGCAATACCTGTACTCCCAGAGTAAGTTACAGTAGGTCTTATTGTTTCTGTCACAGAAAGGCTCTGTTTGGACTGCTGTACTCCTCATTTGATGTAACAATGCTATTAATCTAAATATTTGTAAATAAAGTACCTGTATCTAGATAAACTACAGCAGTGTGTGTTATTTGCTCTGGCAAATCTGGTGTGACTTCTGAGGGGGCTTGTCTTCTGGTGTGGTTTTCACTCCTGCTTCTCCTTGCCTGCAGTCAGACCTCTGGGTCCTGAGCAAAGCATCTCACTGAACTGGTGGCAGAGGAATGTGAGCCCAGCCCAGGGTTAGGCTGGGCTGCTGTTTGTGCTCTCACTGCTTGTGTTTAACCTTCAGTAGTAAAAAATTCCCAGGCTTTGCACAAGAGGAGTCTCCTGCAGAGGCTCAGACTGTTCTTTAAGACAACAGGCCAGGGCTGGTGGTGGTTATTCCCAGTGAAATGTCATATTGTTGCTGGGAGACACTTGATAATATAAAGTTTATATTAATAATGAGGATGAGAAAGGGCAAGATGGATAGTGATTCAAAGCCTGGCTCAAGGGAGAATGTTGGGAAAGTCATTCCATGCACATTTCCAGATGGAGGGTGTGGAGATGTTCTTTAGGACGTGGAGTTATGTGTGGTACTATGGCCTATGTCCTGTGTTTCATGGTGCCTGGTTCTGCTGCCTGAAGGCTTTACAAAGTGGTTTTTCCACTGCCAGGTAATAGCAGGATCCTTGGAACTTTTTTTATGAAACTCTTAACCACAGGGAGACAGCTGAACACTTATAAACAGGGTTACAACTCCATGGGTACCAATACTGGACAAGTTTTACTTCCTGCAGGTAGGAGCCAGAGGGGTCAGAGTGCTGCTGCTGGCCAGCAGCTCCTGGAGGACTTTAAAACAAAATAACAAAACCACCACAAGTAAAAGCAAACAGTCACTGAACTTTATTTTAAGGAAGTATCCCAAAATAATTATATTTAAAACACTCATGCAGTTGACAGCAGGTAAAGGGACAACTCTGTCCTTGTAAAATGGAAATGGACAAATTCCTGCACTTAAATAGGAGTTGTTTCAGACACAGATGTAAAATTCACATTTAAAATAGTTTTTTTTTTAAAAAAGAAAACTTACCTACATAAAAATTATTCAATTGTACAAAAACTTCACAGTACAGAGCAGGCCCTGCAGCCGCTGGTCGTTAGTGGTGGCAAATTCCTTTTTAGAAAAGGTTTGCAGAAGAGTGAGGTAGACACCTTTGAAGGTGGTAACCGATGGCACAGCTGAGGAGCCACGTGCAGATCAGGCCTTGCTGGGAGTGGTTCTACCCTGGGATGAGGGAAGTTCATGTGGTCTGTGACCTGGCACCTAAAAATACACATTAGTAGAAAAGCTTTAACTTAAATCGTGATAAAAGAATGGTTAAGTACCAGGCTGGGATTGTAACTGCCTGTAACTGAAATGTAGATACTGGGCTGTACGTGTATTGAAACCAGGAGAGCCTTCCTGAAAGATGAAGTAGCTTAACATGGAAGCTGGTCAACAGAGCAGCAATTTCTGTGTCACACCAGAGTTTACAAGCAGCTCTTACCAACAGTTTATTTGAAAATACACATCCAAGAGCCAAATGTGCATCAAAAGTGCCAGGAGAGCAGCCACAGGCCTGTGCTCACCTGCCCCTGGGCTACCACCACGTGCAGCCCACAAGCCTCAGGAGGCTCATGACTCAGCATGAAGTCAGGTCTCACCTCTGGGCTTCACTGAGAAACTCCTCCGGAGCAGGGACGCGCCATCTCCGACACCGCTGCAATAGCTGCCGGCCTGCTGGGGCAGTGTGCAAGCCTGGGCAGAGCAGCCTAGAAAAAGCAGAAGTTTGAGTAATAAATTTATGTCTTGAATTAGCAGAGACACATTAGTCTCTAAGACACAAAGAAAAAGCTGGATTTTAAAGAGTAAGATAAGAGAAAGTTCTAAAAAAGAAAACAAATGACAAACCAAACACCACAACCTTTTGGGAAAACTTACACTTTCCAAACAAGTTAGCAACTGCCAGAGTAAGCGTGCAGAGCCATCACCCCACCTTCAGAAGGCCTCTAAGATGGCAAGCTAAAAATTTCTAAACCTACCCAAAATTATTTTAAAAACCCAAAAAAACTCCCCCTACAAAATCACCATACACAGCAGAGTATTACCTGTGCTTTTGTTAAATTCAGAGCATCCCGAAGAGCTACCAGACTGGAGTTCTGGGCTAGAACCAGCGGATCTGAAGAAGTGCTGCTGACGAGGTCGTCCAGCGCATCCACCTGGCGCTTCAGGCTGTGCAGGGTGCCTTCTGTTTGCTGTTTTCCTCTGATTAACACTTCCACTTGCTTGGACATGCAGTGCCGCAGCTGAGCCTAAATACACCATGCGTCTAGTTACAGCCAGCTCACGTAGTTTTCAAGACTCTATTTATAATTTTATAAATAAAATTGTGATGACCTTAAAGTCAAGCCCTAAGGGAGGTGGTTTTGAGAGTCTCCAGCCACCAGCAGATGACAATGTGTTTGTGAATTATTTTTAAATAGTTCACCTCCTTTTTTTCCCCTTTTCTATCAGAAATAAGCTCTATTTCTACAGCCACCATCATGAGCCACTTGAAGAGAGCACAGCAGGTACATGCTGACTAAACTTGGCCTTCCCCTGGACTTAAAGTGCTCATGGGTGCTCCTCAACTGTCATCGGTCCTGTTGCTAACATACCACAGTATGATGTAAATGCGGGAATCTTGTTGGAACACTCAAAAACCCAATTAACTGTTAATTAAAATTATTCATCTCTATATAGCATGCAGTTGCCAGGCTGGGTTCTGCTGCTCCCACCCCCAGTGCTCTGCAGCTGGCCTTTAGCACAGAGCCCACAGGCCAGAGCTGGAGGAGCCCCTGCTCTCCTGGGAGCTTTAGGTTATTTTCAGAACAGCCGTGTCAGCGCCGCTGGGAAGGGATGTGCCACCTTCAGCCGATCCTCGTGGTGCTGCAGTTTTTCTCGGAGAGCCTCCCCACGCCACTGTTCATCCTTTTGGAAACAAAAGCACATTGAGAACAGAGCGTCACAGCGACAGGTGCCCGCCCCGACGCGCTCAGCTGCTGCACGAGCCGCAGCTACTTTGTGAGAGTGTTTTACCATTAAAAGAACTTTAGAAAAATTCAACTTCTCTTCCAACGAGAGGAATCTTCTGTCAGCAGCAAACGGACCAGTCTCCTCCGAGTTATCAGAGCCACACCACAGACTGCCCTGGGCTTCAGAAGATGCTTCCAAATCTTCCACCAGTTCCAGAGGAGATGGGCTTGAAGATTTAAACCCCGTCCTAATTTCATCTTCAACCTCCAGTTTAAGCAGCGCTGCTGCATTCGTCATTTCCCTTTGTCTCTTTTCCAGGTCTTCTTGAGTTTTAACCTACACATCACAGAACAGTCTCACCATTTTGCTGTCACGTTACAAATGCATCATCAATCCAGAGGGATTTTCCTGCATAACTGAACAAAGCTTATTTCTGAAACAAACACTTTGGCTCTTGCAATCAGAAATCACAAAACCTCTGATCGGGTGCAGCCCTAATTCTGACACTGACTTTGCCTGTGGAAGCCCCTCAGATGGTGACAGAGGCAACTAGTTACCAAGACAACTTGTTAACTTAAACCTGTTCACACTCAGGGCTTGCACGGTTTTCCTTAAATGCTTCCTAGTTGGTAACAACACTCTTCTCTGAAGGACCCTATTTTTAAAGGACTTGGAAACAATTTATGGAGGATTTATTAAAGGACTAGAAGGAGTCAGACAATGTGGAGTCACCTTTCAATTTAAAGTGAGAGTCAGAAGAAGAAA